TAGGTTGCCTCCGGGACCCACGGGGCTTTCCAAAAATATCTGGAGCAGGTAGCCTGGATTGGTAATTCACCTCTGAAGTCTACCTGTTGCTGTCCACAGAAGTGGGAGGCTGTTTTTGTCCACCACTATTCTGTATAGATACACCTAGAGGATGATCAGTGGTAATATATGGAATTGGAACCATGAAGTATCCATATCATGAAGCAAATACTGTGAAGTACTTGCTTTGTTGTTTGGGAATGTGCTACCAAGTACAGCACCATTAGCTGGAAAAGGGCAGAAAAAGAAAAACTAAACAAACAAACAAACAAAATGGGCAGAACAGGGTGTCCAGAAAGCTACCATTTTTTGAAGAAAACGGGGGGGGGGGGGGGGGGGGATACATCTCATTCTCGGTGTGAAAGGCATAGCTGTCTCCGGAAGGAAAGATCAGCAGCGGATTACACTGGTTGATCCTGGGGGAGGGGAACCATGTGCCTGGAACCATGGTGAGGAGGCCCTATACATATTTGAATCTTTGGAATGTTGTACTGGTATTGGGGAAAGAGAGTTGACCTTGCAAGTCCAAGGCCACTGAAGGCCAGAGAAGGGCAGATGGAGAGTGTTGGCTAGAAGGAAGGAGACCCTGAGATCCTATATTTTTTCCCCCCTGGAATGTGGGCTGGGCCCTCTTTACCCCCTGACTGCTGGAGGCTCCCAGGCAGTTGTCAGTTTAAAGGGATAGAGGTCAGATTCTGAATTTTGCTGAGCTGTGATTTTAGTGCACCACACTGTAGCCACTGAAGCGACCCAGAATTGTGCCTGGACAGCAATTATGGTCAGCAGAGGATGCCCCATTTGCTGCCCCAGGCTGGGCTCAGAGTCCCCCTCAGTCCTCCCCACTCGAACAACCTTCCCGAGTGTGCTTCTGTGTCCCGAGTGTGCTTCTGTTTCCAGTGCCTCAGGTCCCCAGATGGGTGGGAATGAGGTTGCAGAACTCCTCTCCAGGGCTAAGTGATAGCTGAACAATGGAAGGAGTTCTGCCACAGGAAGCAAGGCTTCACTGCACTAGCAGTTAAGGAACCATAAATTAAAAGAAGTCACCTGGTTAGGAAAAAAAAAAAAAGGTCGGGGCGGGGAGCACTTATTGCCCTACCAGGGAATGAGCACCTCACCCTTTGTGGGCAGGAATGTGAACCAACCTTTAAAAGATAATGTGGCAACATTAACATGAAATAGAAAAATAGGACCTGGGGACAGATACACAAAAGTGTTTGCTGCAGAACTGTTTGCATTTGCAAAAACCTGGGAGCTCCTAGAGGGTTGAGTGAATAATTCATAGATATGTTCTGAATATTGATGCACCTTTTAGACAAGTCTGGGGGTCTTCTGAAGGATGGCCTATGAAGCAGGAAGATCCAGTTGTTGGTTAACATGGATATATCATATTTCCAGGCAAACCAGATTACCCTTCCCCTCCCTAGCTCAGACTCCAGTGAGCACTGGCCCCAGAGTAGACTGCTTGTGGGGAGAAGGTTACAGAAGGGGTAGGGGAGATCCCACAATTGGTGTGCTTTTCAGCCAACCACAAAGGTGTGCTCTGTGTACAAATTTCAAAAGTTTAACAAATGGAGGGTTGGGGCTGTAGCTCAGTGGTGGAGTGCTTGCCTCATATGTGTGGGGCACTGGGTCCAATCTTCATAAAACAAATAAAAATAAACGCATTGTGTTCATCTATTTCTATTAAAAAAAATTTAACAAATGGAAACCAACCAACCAAACTATAGTTCAGTTAGGTCAAATAACCAGAGTTAAGGGGCAGTACTTAATTTCTAAGGGTGTTTCTCAGCTTCTGGCCCTGTTCTGGAGAGCAAGCAAGTATGAGAAGTTCTCTCCTGATTGCCTACCCTTCCCTTGACCTAGCAGATACTCAGCCTCATCTTCTGTTTCCCTTCTAGCTGAAGGCAGGTGCTTGTCCTGCACATATTGCAGGAAAGTCTGAGGCCCTCAGACACCCTGGGCTGCTCTCTCCCATCCTGCACCCAAAGTTAAACCCTCCTTCATACTATTTTCACCCAGCCCTTTTTATTTTATTTTGAGACAAGATTTTGCTAAATTACAGAGGCTGGCCTCAAATTTGCAGTCCTTTTACCTTAGCCTCCTGAGTCCCTTCGATTGTGGGCATGTGCCACTGTGCCCAGCATACTATCTTGTTTCTTGTTGCTATGTGGTGTGTCTTGGGTCAAGAAGTGTGAGTCCTCTTCCTTTGTTATTTTTCAGGATTTTACTGGCTATTCTGGGTTTCTTGCAAGTTCACTGAATTTTAGGATCTACTTGGCAGTTTCTACAAAGAAGTCTGATGGTATTCTGAAAGGGATTGATTTGAATCTACTAGTCAGTTTGAAGAATATTGCCATTTGAACAATATTGAGTCTTCCAACCATGAACACGGCATGTTCTTTCATTTATTTAGAATTTTATTTCTTTCAACAATGATTTATGGTTTTATGTTTTCAGAGTATAAGAAGTCAAAAAAAGATCAGAAAATAACTTTGAGATGGATGAAAATGAAGACAAAACATATCAAAACTTAGGGAATTGAGCTGAAGCAGTGCTTAGAGTAAAATGTATGGCTGCAAACACCTGTACTAAGAAGTACATTCTCAAATCAGCAACTAGTCTCCTACCCTAAGCTCCTGGAAAAAGAAGGCCACTTCTGTAAAATATTGTACAGAGAGTTAAGCCAGAGCAACTAGACAAGGATGAAATAAAAGACACCCAGAAAGAAGAAGTAAAGCTACCTCTGTTTTCCTTCCTTCTGTAAGATCAGGTGAGGCAGGCAGGGACCAAAGGAGGCAGATTTAAAAAGTCCGCCAAAGGAGGCTTTATTTGAGATATCACTCCCTGGCGGAACTGGATCAGATGGACAGAGTGGACTGGAGAAGGGTCTAAGGAGAAACCACCTGGGAGCTTGACCAGACTGGGATTTTATGGGGTTCATGGCAGGAAGGAAAGGGCTTGGGACAAGAAAGGGGATTTTTAGGGTCCCTTGTCCCGCTGGAGTTGGTCAGGGGAACTGGCTGAACTCCAGGATTGGCCAGGGGTTCTGCTGATTGAGAGGTGTTAGTCAGGAGATCCTGATGATTGACAGGTGTTTCCGCCAGTGCCTGATTGATGTTTCTTTCCCGCACGGGCTGCTTTATTCTAAGTCACTGCCACCAACCTGACACCTTCCCTCCCTCCCTCCCGCCTTCCTTTCCTGTACTGGGGATTGAACCCTGGAGCGCTCTACCAGAGTACATCCGGAGCGATTTTTGTTTTTTATTTTGAGGCACGGTTTCACTAAGTTGCTTAAGGTCTTGCTGAGGCTGAACTTGGACTTGGAATCCTCCTGTCTCAGCCTCCCGAGTGGCTGGGAGTATAGACATGTGCCACTGTGTCCAATTCCTGTGTTCTTTCTTTTCTTTCTTTCTTTTTTTTGGGGGGAGTGGGAGGGAGTACCAGGGATTGAACTCAGGGGCACTCGCCCACTGAGCCACATCCCCATCCCCTATTTTGTATTTTATTTAGAGACAGGTCTCACTGAGTTGCTTAGTGCTTCCCCGTTGTTGCTGAGGTTGGCTTTGAAATCGTGATTCTCCTGCCTCAGCTTCAAGAGGTGCTGGGATCACAGGCAGCACCCTGCCTCCTCTGTATTTTTTTTTAATATTCATTTTTAGTTGGACACAATATCTTTATTTTTATGTTGTGCTGAGGATCGAACCCGCATGTGCTAGGCGAGCGCTCTATCGCTGAGCCACAATCCCAGTCCCCTCCTCTGTTCTTATATGGCATGGATCATCTATGTCCAAAGTCTCATGGAAGTCTCTAAAAAACTGTTAAAACTATTAAATGAGGCTGGGAATGAGGCTCCATAGTAGAGCACATGCCTGGCATGCATGAGGCCCTGGGAATTTCCACTCTAAAAAAAACCAAAAAAATAATAAATGAGTTCAGCAAGGGTGCAAGATTCAAAATCAATATATAAAAGTCAAATCTATTTTTTATACTCACACTCAACAGCTGAAGACCAATTCTATTCAAAGTAGTAGCAAAAGAATTTATGCTGTTCAAAAGCTTCTTAAGATCTAGCTGATCTAACATTTCAAATGAAGTATTTTTTATTTTTTTAATTTATTTTTTAGTTTTAGGTGGACACAATATCTTTATTTTATATTTATGTGGTGCTAAGGATCGAACCCAGTGCCGCGTGCATGCTAGGCGAGTACTCTACCACTCAGCTATAACCCCAGCCCCATATTTTTGATTTTCACTACCAGGTATTGAACCCAGGAGTATCTCATCTCCATGGAGCTTCATCCCTGCCTCCCTGCCCCCTTTCTTTTAAGACAGGACCTCACTAAATTGCCTAGGTGGGCCTGGAACTTGAGACCCTCCTGCCTTGGCCTCCAGAATCACTGAGATTTCAGGCATGTGCCACCATGCCTGTCTTGCTGATATCTACTAATGATATCTCATTATTTTATCTGTGGTTTCTGTTTGTGTTTGCAATTATGACCATAGTTTGTCCCATATATTCGCTTTGAAATGATTCAGCATTCCCATCAGAAGCCTGCTGAGAATAAATGCCGGATCTTCTCCATTCAAAATCAGGGATCAAGCAGAGGCTGAGAAGCCCTGGTCCCCCCTTGTTCCTAATCCAGGTCCACTCTCTAGAGTCCTCCTCAGAACAGAGATGTGATTTCCAGGATAGCCTCAGGTCCTGCAAGGCTGCCGCTCCAAAGAAACTGACCCCAGAATTTAGTGCCGGCGTCGTGTTGGGCAAAATGGGGTGAATTAGGACTCATGTGGGACCTTCCATGAAAAATAGCCTGGGCACTTGCGCTGCAGACATAGCTCAGTGGCAGAGCGCTTGCCTAGCATGTGTGAACCTCAGGGTTTGCTCCTCAGAATTGAAGGACAAACGTATCACATGAAAGACCCCAACCACTCGAAATACGAAAGTGAGGGAGCACACCAGGTCGTCCAGAGATGGGTTTATTCAGTGCAGGCTACAGTAGAGGTGGAAGCGTCTGCAGCAGCAGCAGTAGCAGCAGCAGCAGCAGCAGCAGCAGCAGCAGCAGCAGCAGCGTGGTTTAGGGACTTACATAGCCCCTGAGGGAAATGTGCGTGGTTACAATTGGCCGGGTGATGGTAAGTTCCTGTTGTTAATTTCCTATTGGGCTCCTGGGCAGGTGACCGGTCTTTTGGGGGGCTCTTTTGGTGGACTTTTCCTCCTAATCAGGAAGAAGAAGCCGGAAGCCTAGAGCCCTAGGGGCGGCGGCCATTGTGGGGTGGTGGCCTGGCCCTGTCCTCATTCTGTGCCCAACATTCCTCCCTTTTTGATTTATTAAAATGTAAGGGACACCGAGTCCTCTGGCTAATTCCTGCTGAGTCAGGGGCATTGTGGGGTAGGAGGAGGAGTGTTGGGGGCAGAGGGCTGGATAGAGAAGTTAATAAGTCAGTGAGTAATATCAGCCAAATCAGTAGACGCCTGCCAAAGCCGGTGATTTCGGGATGTGGGGGAAGTCTATGAAGGTGCCTTGTAACCATAGTTCTTCAAGGGCCTGCTCCCAGCTGGACACGATGAGGAGTTCAGGGAACAGCCATGCATCTTCCTGAATCACCTCCACGAAGGACCGGAAGCATCCCTGGCTGGGGGTCCCAAAGTCATTCCTCTCCTCCATAGATCACACAGGCCACAATTACAGGGGCTACAAAGAGAAGGGTGTAGATAATTACTTTGTAAGATTTGTGGAGGATAGACTGAGAATCATGAGAGACATCCACAATCCCGTTACAAGCAGTAAGATCAAGAGGCCTTAGCCGCTGATGAATCCGTGGTGGCACAGCAGAGGCCTCGGACTGGTGGTGTAGTTTGAAGTGAAGAGCCCTCGGGGCAGCGAGAAGTTGGTGGGGTACATGAGAAGTTATAGCGTTGAGAGGTCCCCTCGGGATGGGTCAGCCTCTCTTGGGAGTGGTTGGTAATGCCTAAGAAGGAGCTGGTTGAAAATTTGGTTAGAGTGGGCTGGGGATGTGGCTCAAGTGGTAGCACGCTCGCCTGGCATGCGTGCGGCCCGGGTTCGATCCTCAGCACCACATACAAACAAAGATGTTGTGTCTGCCGAAGACTAAAAAATAAATATTAAAAAATTCTCTCTCTCTCTCTCTTAAAAAAAAGAAAATTTGATTAGAGATTGTTGAGATCTGAGAGCTGAGACATCTGAAGATGCAAGGAATGACAGATAAGATGGCAAAAATGGCAGCGAGGGGCCCCAGCAAAGGTAATAGGCAAGGAAGCAGACTCTTCCATGGGCTCCATGCATTCCGGACGAAGGATTGTTCTTGCTTTTCCCTGAGGTCTTTAATGACTTGCTTTAGCTTGTGCATGCTATGGTCGGTCATCCCAGCCTGGCTGACATAATCACAGCCCTCCTTGCCCAGGAACACATATGTGCCTCCCTTTCCAGCTGTTATAAGGTCTAAGGCCCATCTATTTTGGAGGACGACCTCTGCCAGGGAGGAGAGTTGGGCATGGAGGGAGTGGATGGCGCTGAGGGAGGCCTCTGCCATTTGTGTGAGTTTGTCCCCAAGGTCTGCCAGCTCCTGAGAGAAGGATTGAGTAATGACCAATGCCCCCGATGGGATGGCTACCCCTGAAGCACTGTTGAAGCCACAAGGCTGATTCCCGCCAGGACGGCTGCTCTCCTGTGGTGATGACTCTCAGGAGATGTAAGGATGTCCTCAGCCTCGGCCAAGGTGCCAAGGGTGAGGCTGGGGATAAGGAATGACAGGTAACAGGCCCCAGCGTGGTGGGGAGATGCAGGAGAACAAGTAGGATCTGCAGAGGAAAAGCGCAGGAGGAGGCAGAGTGACGTTGGTGTTGAGGGTGTTGTGGGTCCCCCCTGGGGCAGAATGAGGAAGTGGTTGCCCAATGGGTGGTGATGTTAATGAACAGGGGAAGACAGGTGTAGGGTAGGAGATATGGGGCTGTTGGTGGCTGGGCAGGACCCAGTGGAGGTGGGTGGCATTAATAGCGACAGGAGCCAGTAGGGGTCACCAAAGAGGCACACAGAGAAAGCAGGAAGAGAAGTTGGAAGTAGAATCTTGTGAAGGAGCTGGAGGGAGAGTGTTAATATCCTATCCCATGAGAAGGTAGTTTAAGGATTTGTGCTGTGACTTGGTGTGAATTTGGGTGGCATTGAGACGTTGTAGGCCCCTTGTGAGGAGGAGTCAGTAATAATCTTTTTTTATGATGATTTTCCCTCTGCTGCTGTACCCGTTGGAGTTGTAGAAGCCTACAGCTGCTATCCTGGATTGCCAAGAGGAGGGATCGGGAAACTGAAATGTAACATTGTGGGACCCACTGGTTGACTGTAGGCACCTGGCCTGATTCCCCATTGGGATTTCCCCATGGTGGGATGGGACCAATGATATTCACAGTTCCAGAAAGGGCAGCCTACCCAGCCCAAGCGATCCTTGCGTCGTTTCGCTGGTCCTCCTCAAAGCATAAGAACTTAGGATAGCTGGCCAAACCATGGCCACATTGATGGGCGCAAGTGGAGACTGCATCGAAGGAGAGGGTGATGGAGGGGCAGCTAGCTAATGGGCAGGAGGACTGATTGAGTAGATGGGTTTCCTGACCATGGTTGTTAAGCTACCAAATTTGAAAAGTGTACATGCATGGCGGGGTACTGCAAGAATTGGGGGCAAGCCTGGGAAGAGGGAGGAAGAAAACGTGTAAGAGGGTCGTGAGCAAGGCTAGCATGATGTCTGGGAGATGCGGAGCTTAAGAGGCCTATCAGGGTGGAGGTGAGAGGTGTAAGTGGGTTTAGGAGGTAGTGCAAGCGAGGTGTTTGAATGTTGTTCCTCCTTGGCGCGGCTGGGAGTCAGCTTCTGTCGGGAGATGTGAATCCAAGGGGACAGCATAGCTGATCCTTCCAAGAGTCTGGCTGCTGTGGGGGTAGATAGGACAACTTGTAAGGGTCTTTTCCATTTTGGGGAAAAGTCTGTGCTCTTGGAAAGGGGAGTATAATAGACCCACATGCCGGAGGTTAAAGGGAAGGTCAGGGAAAGATCGGATGCATCAGGCAATAGGAGGTCTTCATGTTTCCAAAGTCCAGAGTGGATGAAGGAGAGAAGAGGAAAGGAAAGGTTTTCAGCCAGGTGCCAGGGGGGAAGGAGTGAGGCCAGGGGGCAGAACCGGGCATCCGTCCATAAAGGACCTCGAAAGGTGAGAGTCGTGAGAGTTTCTTTGGAAGTACTCTAAGGTGGAATAAGGCATGGGAAGTAGCTTGACCCAGTCGTGGTGAACCTCGAGGGAAAGTTGGGTTAAAATTTCTTTAAGAGTGTGATTGGAAGCTACAAAGTTAACTTTTGGAGCACCTATAACAATTGCCAGATGATTGTGGATGGTAAGGGATGTGGAAGTGCCAGGGTAATCTAGGAATGCTGTGATTTGTTGTGTGATCTGAGAGATAAATTCAGGTCCAACTGGAAGGACTTGGGTACCCCGAATCTTGGTATAATGTCAGTTAATAGAAGGCGGCCACAATGGAGGCTGTCTTGTGGTATGTGGGGAATGCCTCGACCCAGCCTGAGAAGGTATCAATAAAGAACAGAAGGTACTTATAACACCTCACCGCAGGCATGTGTGTAAAGTCAACCTGCCAGTTGGCTCTGGGGATGTGACCTTGAGCTTGATGAGTAGGAAAGGTTCCTGGTTTTAGAGGGGTTTGTGGGTTGACTTGCTGGCAGACTTGGCAAGCAGCGGTGATGTCTTTAATGAACTGTTTGTTGAAGACAGGGTAAAAAAGGTGGAGAGAAAAGTCTGTAGGGCTTGGGGGATTGGGGTGGAAGATTGAGTGTAGGTAGTTCAAGACCTCCCTGCAGTTGTGTAAGGGATGGGTAGATGAAATGGGGAGCAAGGAGGCAGGGTTTAAGGGCACGCAAGCCAGGAAGGAGGTAGAGGTGTCATGTATGAAAGTCACTAAGAGGGAAAGGATGCAGCAAGGCAGGAGAGTCTGGAGTCCCTTGTATCTTAGGAGTTCTTTGAGATGATGGGGACTGGCAATTGTTATAGGTGCTCCAAAAGTTAACCTTGTAGCTTCCAGGAGCAAGATATGGGCCACTGTCAGGGTGTGGAGACATGGTGATCACACCCAAACAGTAGGGTCTAACTGTTTAGACAGATAAGTCACAGGGGCAAATAAGGGGCCTAACATTTGACCCAACACTCCTAGGGATAGATTCTGGTTCTCATGGCAGTACAGAGGAATGGTCTTTGAAGGTCAGACAGTTGCAGTGCTGGGGCTTGCAAAAGGGCTTGCTGGAGTTTTTGGAAAGGTTGGACGGGGTCTCCTGTAGGGACCTTGGAGGGGAAAGACTTGACAAGGTCATATAGGGGTTTCGCTAAGAGAGAAAAGCTGGGAATCCATGTTCTAAAGTATCCTGCTAGCCCCAGGAATGAAAGGATTTCCTCTATGGTTCTGGGAGTCTGTAGTTGCTTGATATAAGTCTTGTGATTGGTGGTGGTAGCCATGGAGCAGTGGACAGGACAGGTTCAAGTAGGTAACCTGGGCCTTTGAAAGTTGGACGTTAGCAGGAGAAACCCGGTAGCCCCTTTCAGCTAGGAAATTGAGAAGAAGTGAGATGTCATTCTGTGATTATTCCAGGGAGGGACTACAGAGGAGTAGGACATCTACATATTATAGTAATCAGGGACAGGTCGTCTAGATCAGTGGCCAAAGTTTGTCCGAATATAGGGGGCTGTCCCGGAAGCCCTGGGGTAAGACCGTATAGATCAGTTTGCGAGACTGGCGTGTTTCAGGATCTGTGTGAAAGCAAAGAAGTCCCGGGACTGTGGGGCCAAGGGGATAGAGCAAAAAGCATCCTTGAGATCTACCACTGAGAAGTGAGTTGAGGAAGGAGGTATAGAGGACGGGATGGTATATGGGTTTGGAATCAAGGAGTGTATGGGTTTAACAGCCTCATTGATCAGCCGGAGATCTTGAACTAAACGAAAGTTGCCATTAGGTTTTTTCACTGCTAGAATAGGAGTGTTGAAAGGCGAGTGGGTGGGTCTGAGGAAGTCCTTGGTTAAGAGATCTTGAATGATGGGCTGTAGGCTGATCAGGCTGGCAGAGAGAAGCGGATATTGGGGTTGACATGGATAGGCATCTGGATGTTTTAAAGTAATAATAACGGGGGAGCACTGTGCAAGTGATGGGGTTGTGGTGTCCCATACCTTGGGGTTGACTTTGGGGGAAAGGGAAGGGGGAGTTCCTCCTCTGTTGAAGGGGATATGATTAGTGAGAGAATGTAGGAGACTTGTTGAGATTGAAAGTGATGGATGTCTCAAATTTGAAGAGGATGTCTCGCCCTAGCAGGGGCACTGGGCATTGGGCCATAACCAAGAATTGGTGGGAGAATATGATCCAGAGGAATGAGCAGGAGATTAGGGCAGTGATCCTAGGCATGAAGGTTTGGGCACCTACCAACATGGGTGTTTGTCTATAATGAGTGTGACCCTTGGTTCCTGTGTGGTGATGGCCGTCAGGGAAGGAAATCTTAGGGTCCTGTCAGTCCTCCGCCCCTAGTCCCAGAAGGTCATGTGTGAGGCTGTGGGCCTCCCTGGCCCCCTTTGGGTTCCAGGGCAGTCCACAGCCCAATGACCGGGACACTGGCACTTTGGGCAGGGTTGGATAGGAACCTTTCGGTTAGGGCAAGCCCTGACCCAGTGGCCATCCCTTCCACATTTGAAGCATGGCCCTGGTGGGCCATTTAGAGGTCCTTTAGAGGATGAAGGGGGGGCTGATGCCTGAATGGCCTGAGCCAGCATCTGGTATTTGTGGAATTTGGCCTTTTCCTCCCTATTATTGTAGACCTTGAAGGCCAGCGCCAGCACCTCTGTGGGGTGAGAGGCCCTCTTTCCAACCTGTTTAGTTTGGCCTTTATGTTGGGGTAGCTTTGGGAGAAGAAATGGGTCGTTAGGAACTGTCTCCCATCAGGAGTTTTAGGGTCTTAATTAGCATATTGTTGGAGGGCCTGAGTCAGCCTATCTAAGATAAAGTGGAGGGGGTTCTCATTTTTATCTTGAATGATCTCTTGGAGATTTTTGAAGTTAACTGCCTTCTGAGTTGCCTGTCTGAGTCTGGCAACTAGGCAGGTGGAAAATTGGTCCCTCAGGGCTAATCCTGCGGCAGTATTATAGTCCCAATTAGGGTCCTGGTCAGGGACTGCCTGAGTGCCTATCGGTGGGTGAGCCGAGGTGGTTTGATGAACCTCATCAGCGTAATTATGGGCTTGCACCCAGACTCATCTATGCTCCTCTGGGAGAAGAGTATTGGCCAGGATCAAGTAAATGTTGTGAAAAGAGAGGTTAAAGCCTGAAAAAGGTATTGAAATTCCTCAGTGTATGGGGAGGGGTTGGAAGTGTATGAGCCCAGGCGCTTCTCAATTTGGGAGAAGGGAACATGAACCCTCACAATGACTTCAGCACCCGCCACTTCGCGGAGGGGGATAGTATGTGAAGAAAGGTTGAGTTTTAGAACAGGTTGTAGGGGGACTAAAAGGGGGCTGGGGAAGTGATGGGGTGATGCTGAAGCCAGAATTAGGCAGTCAGTGTAGATAGGTAAATCGAGTCAGATCGGATCCAGGAGGCCAATTTTGAGTGAGTCTGGGAAATTGGAGACAGTCCCCTGTGGGATCTTATCAAGAACCAGCCCCAGCTCCAACCTGTTGCCCAGGTAACCTGTCCCAGGAATTCCTCCTCCCAACAGGGAGCTATAAGGTTGTTAATGTGTCCTTGCCTATTCCATCCTGCCCTTCCCCCTTCAGCCCACCTGTTTCCCACCTTTTGGCCTTCCCACCTAGCATTCCTGGGCCTAGTCAAGTATGCAGGAAGGAGAAAGATTAGGGGGAAAAGGCAGGAGAACAAAGGAAGCCCAGGACATACATAAAAAGGGCAGAATACCTCACTTTTTGGGATAACGGGATACCAGCTATGGCCCCCTTCTCCCTGGCGGGAGAAGTCTATTACCCCTTTTTAAATAAACCCTGCTTCATATGCTTGCCTCAGCATGCTTCTCTAATGTTCAAACATCAACTGCGTGGGAAAGCAGTACTTGTCACCGATAACCAGGTGGTATCAATGCGGGGGGCGGGGGGGTGGGGGGTGCCCAGGGCTGCGGGGTAGGAGGATTAAAGGCCTAGGCGGGGTGTATTCCCCTCCCACAGTTGGTCAGGGGTACTGTCTGACGATCCACGGTCAGTTTCCCCTGAGAGTCCACCTGCAGGGGTGAGCAAGAAGCGGGAAACTTACCAATTGAAGACCCGTGGTGGATATGGGTCCTGCAACCAAGGAAATGGACTGGGGACGAGTTGGGGCCGGTGGGGGTGAGTCCGGATTGGGGTCCTCACCTAGTGAGGGTGAGGGGAGCCCAATCTGAGTCACGGCATTAATGAAAGACCCCAACCACCCTAAGTATGAAAGTGAGGGAGCACACAAGGTCATCCAGAGATGGGTTTATTCAGCGCAGGCTACAGTAGAGGCGGAAGCGTCTGCAGCAGTAGCAGCAGCAGCAGCAGCAGCAGCGGTGTGGTTTAGGGACTTACATAGCCCCTAAGGGAAGTGCCTGTTGTTAGCTCCCTATTGGGCTCCAGGGCCGGTGACCGGTCTTTTCCTCCTAATTAGGAAGAAGAATCCGGAAGCCTGGAGCCCTAAGAGCGCCCTGTCCTGACTCCGTCTCCAATATCAAACAGTTGCTGTGGTAACAGGCAGAACTAACTCTAGCTGGGTCTCATTATTAAATTTTACTTGCTTCAGATATTAACAGAAACCGACTCGGAGGGTTTCCACGTGCCTGGAGTGGGGAATGGGCCCCGTCGGGTCGCCCCTGGGGCGCACGGGGCGGTCCTGAAGCGCGGCCCCGCCCCGCCCTGGCCTCGCCGCGCGCGCCGCAGGGCCGGCCCGCATCATGGGCAGCCTCTACGGGCGTGCAGCGCTTCGGGCGCTGCTGTGCGGGCCGCGCCCCCCGGGCCCGCGCCAGCTGGTGCGCCCCAGCTCGGGTGAGTCGGGCGGGCGGGAGGCGGGCGGGCGGCCCCGGTCTTTGTTCGCGCACGTGCGGCGGGCAGCCGGGAAGCGCTGGCCCGGCGCGGGCTTGGCCCTGCGCCCTCCTTGCATTCCCACCCTGCGGGGCCCAGCAGCCGTAAAGCCTCAGGCTACTTGGCTCTGGGGGTGCCGAAGGTCCAGAGCAGAAGAAACCCAAAGGCCAGATGGCAACCCCGAGCGTGATGGCGGTCCCAGTGGACCGATGGCTTATAGGGGACTCCCTGTGGAGCCTTTGTTGCCGGGGCCGTCAGTTCCTGGACAAACTGGGCCAGAGTCGGGACACCAGGCCCAAGCCTGCCTGGCCCAGCCCTGTGTGGGACCCCTGCCCTGACGGCCTCCCCTCAGTGCGTTTCCTGAGAGCCAAATATTGTTTTTCTTCCATGCGCTCTGGAAAGCGGACGGCCTCCCCCAGGCACAAACTAGCCAGCACCAGCGCTGGTTTGGGAAACAAATAAGCTAGTGGAGGGAGGTCTTGCCGGGTTCTTCAGCCCCGAGGGGTGTGCTGATCCCCCTCCATTTGCTGCCCTGCGCACTGCACGTCGTTGTTAATTTTCCTCCTGAGGATGGAGCTCTTCACCTGGCCTGCGGCTTGGTATTTTTCCTTCATTCTGCCCATCTTCTTTTGTGCGTCATCCAAGGTCTGGGATGCTCCTTGCTCTGGGAGTGCTTTGGGGCTGCAGGACGATGAGGGTGCCCCCCCCCCGGGCAGTGCCCTCTGGAGAGAGGCTCAGGACTGGTCTGAGTCAAGCCTGATGTCCTACAGCTGCTGAGTTCCTGCCTGGCGCCAGTCTCCTCAATTATGGATAGGAACCCCTCCATCTTTCCTCTCAGTCTTAAGCCCCTTGTGTCCCCACTGCCTGGCCCATCTGCACTTCCCCTCTTCTGGGTGCCTACACCAGAGGTGGCTCCTCACAGTGTGACAGGGCTGGGGTTCAGACAGCACCTGCCATTTCCTGAAGGACAAGCGGTGTGCACTTTCCAGTGTAGCTTCTCCAGGTCCCCAGGTGGGCTTCAGGCTAAGCCAGGCTGGGCCTCCCTGGTTTCAGGGCTAATTAAGATGCCTTTTTTCTTTTTTGGTACCCAAGATTGAATTTAGGGGCACCCAACCACTGAGGCACAGTCCCAGCCCCTTTTTTGTATGTTATTTAGAGAAAGGGTCTGAGTTTCTGAGGGCTCTGCTAAATTGTGGAGGCTGCAATTGAACTTGCAACCCCCCTGGCTCAGCCTCCCAAACTGCTGGGATTACAGGCATGTGCCACCATGTCTGGCTTTAAGATGCCTTTCAAAAGAAGCTAGCTCCATTCTCCATTTGGGCAGATTTTATTTATTTTTATTTTTTTTTTTTGGTATCAGGGATTGAACTCAGGGACCCTTCAACCACTGAGCTACATCCTCAGCCCTTTATTTTTATTTAAAGAGAGAGAGAGAGAATTTTAATATTTATTCTTTTTTAGTTTTCGGCAGACACAACATCTTTGTTTGTATGTAGTGCTGAGGATCGAACCTGGCCCACACGCATGCCAGGCGAACTCGCCAACGCTTAAGACACATCCCCAGCCCCCATCGTCAGCCCTTTTTAAATTTTTTTTTTGAGACAGGGTCTTACTAAGTTGTTGGGGCTGGCTTTGAACTCACAATCCTCCTGCCTCAGCCTCCTGAGCTGCTAGGATTACAGGTGTACACCACTGCACCAGTCTTGGGCAGTTTTTGCCACTGTGTGGGAGAAACCTGGGGGACAGGCTGCCTTGGGTACCCCTGGGAGGCAGTGCTAGGAGGTAGCTCCTGTTTGGGAGTGCTATGCTTGTTCCTTCTAGAGCTGCCCTGCATAAAGGCACTCTGAAGCCTAGTGCTGTCTGGGCCCAGGCAGGAACTCAGGTTGGGGAGATGTGAAAGGGTGAGTAATGGCAGCCCTAAATTTTCCCACTTTTAAAGGAGGGCCCTCCTGGACCCAGGAGCGCACCCTGGTTGCAGTGAAGCCAGATGGGGTACAGCGGCGGCTCATCGGAGCTGTGATCCAGCGCTTTGAGAGGCGGGGCTTCAAGTTGGTTGGCATGAAGATGCTGCAGGTATCAGAGCCTGTGTAGTGTTTGAGGTACTGGGGGTGCTTCTTGGCCATTCACAGCTCAATCCAGTGTGAAGGGGGTTTTCTGGCTTGGTATTTGCAGGTGTGGGGAGGTATCTGTCTGGGATGCCAGCCTATGTAGGTATTAACTGCAATGTGCCCTGAGGTCAGGACACCAGTTTGGGGGCGGGCAGGCTCATCTTTAGGGACTCCTCTTACCCCTCTCCCGTGTAACCTAGGCACCTGAGAGCATCCTTGCTGAGCACTACCAGGACCTACAGAGGAAGCCCTTTTACCCAGCCCTCATCAGCTACATGAGCTCTGGGCCCGTGGTGGCAATGGTATGACCGGACCAGGGTGGAGGATGTGCAATGTGGGTGTGTCCTCCACCAAGCACAGGGAAAGGATTGAGCCCTGGGCTCTTGGTGCTCCTCACTTCTCCCCAACTTGTAGCTCTGTACTGCAGGTCTGGGAAGGGTACAATGTGGTCCGCACCTCAAGGGCCATGATAGGACACAGTGACTCCACTGAGGCTGCCCCTGGGACCATCCGGGGGGACTTCAGCATCCACATCAGCAGGTACTGGGAGCCTGATACCTGGGTTGCCTGCTGTGGGGTGAGAAGGGCCATTCCAGCAACAGCATGCAGATCCCAAGGCTTGGGTTTCTCGCTGGGTGGCGGGTGAAGCTGTGGGAGACCAACCTTGCACTTAACTGGGTCACACTCCCCTGCTGGGTGCTGAAGCGGCTGGGTGCTGAGGCTCTCAGTCACAGAAATGTGACAGAGCTTTCCCCACCCTTGGTGGGGGGTGAAGCCAAAGAGGCTTGACAGTGGGACATGAATAATAATAATACTGACTAGAACAACTTCTTTCCCTGCCCTTCCATGCACTTATTGATGATGACACATTCTCATTGATTGTTGTTTTGACTGTACTCTGTGTTGCGTGTTATCTGTCCTGCCAGATACCCTGAAGGGCTGGTGTGGGACACTGGTGGGGAAAGGAGGTTCCCAAAAGTCAGGGTTTGGGCTGGCCGCAGAGGCTGGGCTGGCAGTTTTCTGGCTCCTATTTTTCCTTTTCCTTCTGCAGTCACCTGCTTGCTCCCGTGGGTGCAGGGGAGCAGCAGATTGACCCTAGGGCCCTCGGGTGCACACTGGAGACTAAGCTACTTGTCACCTGGCACAGGAACATCATCCATGCCAGTGACTCAGTGGAAGGCGCCCAGAGAGAGATCCAGCTGTGGTTCCAGAGCAGCGAGCTGGTGAACTGGGCAGATGGGGGCCACTACAGCAGCAGCTACCCAGCTTGAGGGCTTGTGCTGCCCTCAGTGCCCCAGCAACCACCCAGAACCTACTGCTTTGGTCAACAACTCAAGCCACACCCATCCTGTCTCCCCCAAACCACTTTCTTGCTCACTTTCTGCCCCACCCCAGCCCAAGGGAGTTTGAGGCCCAACTCTATGTGCCTTTCTGTATCCTAAATCAGCACAAGATTGGACCAAATCCTTCTGTACCAAAGTGCCAGACAACCTTTGGGCATCCTCAGAGGTCACCTTAACTGCTCCAAAGGAGACACATTAAAATCCACTGATTATAATGGGGGTGGTGTGCTCATTTTGTCTTCTGCCATTTCTGAGACAGTAAAGATGCTTTTATGAAGTAGTAAACAGAATAAAATTGAAGCTTCCTGCCTTGCACACAGAGAAGGGGTTCCCTGACTTTGATGACTGTGTGAATCAGGTAGGAGTCCAGAGCCCTCCAGCCTGAAATCTGGGGAAATTCTAGTGGAACTCTGCCTAGCCAGTCTGATTCTGCTGAAGGAGAGTGGCAGGAAGGGAGAGGTAGGGACTAGGACCACACAAGGCACAATGAGCCTGTGACCATGGTGTCTCCCACTTAGTGGCCTGATTTCATTCAACACCAAGAGCTGCCCAGCAGTAGTATTTTTTTTTCTGGCACTGGCAATTGCACCTGAGGGCTTCATGCATGCTAAACAAGTGCTCAACCACTGAGTTACATTCCAGACTTTTTAAAAAATTCTAGAGACAAGTCTCCCTAAATCTGCAGAGGTTGGCCTCGGACTTGCCATCCTTCTGCCTCTGCCTCCTGACCTGCTGGAATTAAAAGCCAGCGCCACCGGGCCCACTTGGCGTCCGCACATCTTCACGTTGCCACAAGCTGTTCACATCCATGGGTCCTCCTGAGGTTGCTTCCCTATAGCCCAGGTTACAGGGAGGCCGACCTGGCTGTCACTTCCCCACTTGACACGGAGCGACGGAGGTCTAGGGTCTGGGTTCTCAGCATCGGCCTCCGAGCAGCTGCTACAGATGGCATGGGCGAAGTGCCGAGACGCTCTCCACCCGGCACAGGGGCAGTCCTGCGTGCACGCCCCGGCCTTTTCGGCCCCAGTTTCCCGAGGTCATCCACCACGGGGAAAGCTGTCCGCGAAGCGGGTTCGTCTGCACGCCGAGCGCCCCATGAACTGGCCTTAGTCCAGTAGTCTGAGGGTCAGTGGAGATCGGTCGCCTACCATCACCGGTGGGAAGGACTAACAAAACGCGATTCCACCCCTTACTGCGCCTGCGCCCGCTGTGCGCGGCCCCGCCCACTCCCAGTGGGCCCCGCGCCCGGAGAGGCGGGGCGGGAATTCCGGGGAAGGAGCCTGTGGTGGGGCATCCTGGGATAGGAGGGGCGAGGAATCCTGGGGCCTCTGGGGCGTGGCCGGCGGGTCTCCAATCCTGGTTGGTTGAGGGCGGAGGGCTGGTGGCCTCAAGTTCAGAGCCTAGAGGCTTCGGCTTTCCTGCCACCTGTCCTGCTACCTGTCCTGCCCCGAGCGCCATGGCTCAGCTGCCGCCCGACGTGGAAGAGGACGAATGTCTTCCTGAGTACCGCTACCTGTTCTCCCCGGACCTGCTCCAGTGAGCGCCAAGCTGGGCTGCCCTGGCCGCGCTGGACATGCGGATGGGTTGCAGACTGTGGGAGCTGGTTGCGGCCGGTTAGATAGTGCGCAGATGCTCGCATCGGGATCTCCCGCGAGCTTAGTGGAGAAGTCCGTTTTGACTGGCAGGCTTAGAAATCTTGGGAAGGTGGCTAGAGGGACTGCGGGGGTGGGGGTTGTCTGTTTTGAAAACGTATCGTTGATAACTTTCTCAGAGAATTTTGGTTAAAATTGTCCTTTTTGCTGCTGGGGATGAACCCAGGGCCTTGTGCTCCCTAGGTTAGCGTTCTACCACTAAGCTACACCCCAGTTCTAAAATCATTTTTTACCCCCAAAAGATCCAGAAAGCCTAAAAGATTGCATTTTATTTTCGTACAAAGTCCAACAGGATGGAAGGGCCTGTTCAGGGGACCAAAGTCCTCCACAGGTCACCAGCCCTCCCTGACAGTATTTACTTATGTGGTACTGGGGATTGAACCCAGGGCGCTTTACCACATCCCCAGCATTTTTTGAGACAGGGTCTCATCAAGATGCTTAGGGGGCTGGGGATATGGCCCAAGCGGTAACTGCGCTCGCTTGGCATGCGCTGGGTTCGATCCTCAGCACTACATAAAAATAAAATAAAGATGCCCTGTCCACTGAAAACTAAAAAATATTCTCTAAAAAAAAAAAAAAAAAGATGCTTAGGACCTCACTAAATTGGCGAAGCCTTGAATTTGTGATCCACGTGCCTCAGCCTCCCAAGTCACTGGGATTATAGGCATGTGCCACCTTGTGCCTTATTTATTTTTGTGGCACTGGAGACTGAACCCAGGGAAGCTCTACCTATGAGATACACTCCCAGCCTTTTTTTGAGATAGGGTCTTGCTAAGTTGCTGAGGTTCACCTTGAACTCATGATTCTTCTGCCTCAGACTCTGGGGTAGCTGGGACAACAGGTGTGTATTGCCATGCTCAACAAAAGTGACTTTTTTTCTTTTTTTTTTTTGTGATGCTGGGGATTGAACCCAGGGCCTTGTGCATGTGAGGCAAAGCACTCTACCAACTGAGCTATATCCACGTCCAACAGTAACCTTTTAAAAGGTCACTTCTTTTCTTGTTTCAGGGACAAAGTGGCCTTTATCACAGGAGGTGGCTCTGGAATTGGGTTCCGGATTGCTGAGATATTCATGCGGTGAGCACTATTCTGGGTCCCTCCCCTGCTGTTCTTTATTGCCCCTTGCCTAGACCTGGCTGGATCTTGGGGATGAGCCGAGTGCTTCCAGAAGTGGCAAGACTTGGGGGTCTCCTGTAGATCAGGAGATTGTGTGGCTGTGGCTTCAGAGCCTCCTGAGGCTTTTAAGAGCTGAATATCAGGGTGGGCTGCCTCAGATCCCTTTGCTATGAACAGAGTGTGGAGGTGAATTCCACTGGAAAGAGACTCTGGGATACACCCACTCCAGGAGGACTCATCTTCAGGGCTGATGGCCTCATGCAGAACATGGCCACCCATGCCTAGAGTTCCTGTGAGGGTTAGTTGGGATACCATGTCTCCCATGGAACTTGTCTACAGGTGCTGGTGGTGGAAGTGTCAGGGAGTGGGCCAGGGGAGCACCCTGCCTGAGAATAGACTCTGTCCTTCCCCTTAGCCTCTAGGAAGGAGGGTGGAGCATACAGGGCTGTGCAGGGGACCTGGAAGGTCTGGGCCTGATGTCAGTGGCTCACCTCTGCTGTTCCACCATGTCCCACATACCCATGTGGCTAATATATCCCAGAGACCTGGCCCATGTAGGAGGGGCAACCATGTACCTACCTGAGGTCCCTCCAGAGCTGCTCAGTCTTGCTCAGGCCCCTGTGCCTTCTGCCAGTTGCACTTCTGCCCCCAGCTATACTCTACCTGAGACCCTGAGGGAGCCCACTGGTACAACTGCTATCCTCAGGCTTGCCATCTGGTTTTGCAGGCATGGCTGCCACACGGTCATCGCCAGCAGGAGTCTGCTGAGAGTTTCCATGGTGAGAGAGCCTCTCCTGTGGCCTGTCCACAGGTGGCTCTGGGGCCCTGAGCCTGGGCTGGGAAGGTCCTGAGGCCCAGGGGATGCTGACACAAAATCTTGCTCCCCTCTCAAATATGGAGCCTCAGTGGAAGTGGACTCCCAGAGACACCTTTGACTTATAATTCTGATTATTTGTCCTGTGGGGATCATTTTTTAGAAGATAATTTGGCCCCAGGAGAGTTCTCTGGGCTCTTCAGGGCAATGAAGGTCATCATCCCACTGACTAGGTCCTCAACCTGGGGGGAAACTCTGAATTCAAGTGGGGACTGGAAATCATCTGGGCTTCCGTTGATCTGTGATGGTGGCCTGGAGGGTGACCCAGAGGGACAGGGTGGGAACAGGTTAAAGGCAGTGGAGAGTGTGGGATGTCTTACCCATTTTTTACCAGTGCCAAGAAGATGGCCAGATTCAGGTGGTGTCTTCAAGAGTGGGAGCAGCAGGGTCTTAGTGGAACTGAGATTAATCATCTACATCAGATTCTGAAGGTTCTTCTTCAGGCCAGGGCTATGGCCTACCTCTTTTCCTGGCCACCCACCTCTTTTCCTGGCTCTAGGCTGCCAAGAAGTTGATTGCTGCTACTGGCCGGCAGTGTCTCCCTTTATCTATGGATGTCCGAGCTCCCCCAGCCATCATGGCCGCTGTGGACCAGGCACTGAAGGAGTTTGGCAAAATCGATATCCTTATTAATGGTGCGTTGGACAGTGCTTTGATGCTGAGGGAGGCTAGAGGCTTCTGATGGTTATAGTATGGTAATTGAGAGGACCCAGAGCTCTAGTGGAGGGTCAGGGATGGTACCAGAGAGCCCCAACACCTGCACCAGGTTCAGCTCTAATCCACACACCTGCAAGACCCAAGCTCCAGGCCCCTGGCTCTGTTCTTTCCAAGTGGTAGGTTAGCTCAGTCTCCGCTCAAGAGGATGCCCTATGAACATGACTGAATCACAAGTCAGAGGTGCCCTTTGTCCTGAAATTCCCAGTTAAAAAAAAGTAACAGGGCTTGGGGAGCAGCTCAATAGTAGAGTGATGTCTGCAAGACCCAGGGTTCAATGCCAGCAACACATACATAAAGTAGTAGACTCCATTGTTTAGTATAGTTTTAGATTTACAGAATAATTAAGCATTTATTCACAGAAGTCCACATACCTACCCCACATAGTTGTCCTATTATTAACATCTTCCATTTGTTGCAATTGATGAACCAATATTGATTCTTTTTTTTTTTTAATGACACTGGCTTGAACCCAGGGGTCCCCTACCACTAAGCTATATCGCCAGTCCTTTTTTTTTTGTCTTTGTCTTTTTGGTACTAGGGATTTAACTCATTGGGGTTTAACCACTGAGCCAGCTCCGCAGCCCTCTTTTATTTTTTATTTTGAGACAGGGTCTCACTAAGTTGCTTAGGGCTTTGCTAAGTTGCTGAGGCTGGCTTTGAACTTGAGATCTTCCTGCCTAAGCCTCCTGAGTTGCTGGGATTATAGGTATGTGCCATCATGCCTGGCTCCAGCCCTTTTTAATTTGTAAAAGACTATCACTAAGTTGCTGAGACTGGCCTCCAGTTTGTGATCCTCCTGCCTCAACCTCCTGAATTGCTGGATTATAGGTGTGGCCACACACCCAACTGATATATATTATTTACAGTCTGTAGTTTACATTAAGGTTCACTCTTCTGAAATTCCCTTTAAAAACATCTCCTATATTGGTTTCTAGAGTACCACAAAATGGGTGGCTTAAAACAAGAGAAATGCTCTCATGGTTCTGGAAGCCAGAAAATACAAAGTCAAGGTGATAGCAGGGCCATGCTCCAGGAGAAAATCTGCTCTGGGGCTTTATCTTAGTGCAGAGTGTGGGGCAAGCCTTTGTTCCTGGAGTGGGGCTACAATGGCTCTAATCTCTGCCTCTGTCATACAGAGCCTCCCCTCTGCACGTCTTTGTATCCTCTCCTCTTATAAGGACACCATCATGGGATTTAGGGCTCACCCCAATTCAGTATGACCTCAATTTGAGAGCATCTGAAATGACCCTGTATTTACCAGGCATAGTGGCACATACCTCTAATCCCAGCAACTCAGGAGGCTGAAGCAGGAGGCTTACAAGTTGGAGATCAGTCTGGGCAATTTATTAAGACCTTGTCTCAAAATTAAAAAAATGGCTGGGGATGTAGCTCAATGGTTGAACACTCTGGGTTCAATCTCTAGTACAAAAGCAAAATAAAACAAACCCTAATTTCAAATAAGGTCTCGTTTACAGATCCCAAACTCCTCAGAGGATAACATACTGTCCTGTCTTACTTTTGCCTTTCAGGAACTTATCCAAGTACTTAGTCTCCTACCCTGTCCAGCATTGCTCACCACCTATCGGGTGTCGGGCTCACTGTGCACCCTCCCTTTGGGTTTCTGCCCTCCTGGCTCCCCATATTCCCCAGACTTCAGCATCATCATCTGTCTCCTCTGCAGGTGCAGCTGGAAACTTCTTGTGTCCCGCCAGTGCTCTGTCCTTCAATGCCTTCAGGACTGTGGTTGACATCGACACCATTGGCACCTTCAATGTGTCTCGTGTGCTCTATGAGAAGTTCTTCCGGGTGGGTGTCCTCTCAGCCAGGATCTCCCCTCTGCCTGCTGCCCACTTACCACCCCACCCTCCTGTGTTACAGGACCATGGAGGGGTGATCGTGAACATCACTGCTACCCTGAATCTCCGGGGGCAGGTGCTCCAGGTGCACGCAGGCTCTGCCAAGGCAGCTGTGGGTATGGGCAACCCTTTTGGTCTTTCAACTTGGGCTCCCAGGGGGTCCTCTCCTGACCATCCTGGAAGCCACATTCTCCAGGTGATCCCGAGCCCAGTGGTGGGTAGGACAGGACCTAGCCTTGACCCTAGGCCCACACTCACACCTAAGCCACTCTAGGAAACAGAGCAGCAGCCCCTGCTTCCTTAGACCTTCCCTAAATCTTCAGCTTCCACACAGATGCAATGACACGGCACTTGGCTGTGGAGTGGGGTCCCCAGAACATTCGCATCAACAGCCTTGCCCCAGGCCCCATCAGTGGCACAGAGGGCTTACGGCGATTGGGTAAGTCTTCTGGGGAACATGACCTGCCATGGGGTCACTCAGAGTACTGGGCACCCACAAATACTGCTAGAACCCTGGGGGGTTGAAAAGCCATCCTGTTCTGCTCCACCAGGCCTGCTGAAATTAGCACCATCCATCGTTTTCAGATGTGGTTCAGAGGCAGAGCTGGCTAGGGAGGGTAGAGGACCCTGGTCCTAGGGCTTACTGCAGGCCCCCCTCTTCCTGCCCCTGCTTCCTGCCCTCTAGGTGGTTCCCTGGCCAGAGTAAGCACAAAGGCCCTTGTGAGCCCTCTGCAGAGGCTGGGAAACAAGACGGAGATTGCCCATAGTGTGCTCTACCTGGCCAGCCCTCTGGCTTCCTTTGTGACCGGGACCATGCTGGTTGTTGATGGTGGGGCCTGGCTGACATCCCCTAATGACACCAAGCAGCTGGCAGACTTCGAATCCTCCTCTGCTAAGCTCTAGGTGAGGTGTTGCTCCTGCTTCTGGGGTTTACCTGTGTCCTTGGATGTTCCTGGCCATGCCCTGCAAGGTGGAGCTGTATAATTGCTCCTACCCCAGCCTGAGTACATGAGGGTTGCTGCCGATGGGGTCTTCAGCTATGCAGGAGTGTACAGTGCCACTTGATCTTCCTCAGTGACCTCAGCCTCTGCTGGAGTTTCTGGAGGATATTGGAGGGATACAACTTTTGATACACAATATTGTATCCAGAAACAGGGAATACTTCTGGGAGCTGTCTCTCTTGCAGTCCACAGCAAAGCCAAGAGCACTGGATCTGGTAGTGCAGCCCTTTCTCAGGACTGAGCTGTACTTGCACTCTGCATCCCCTCAGACTATGTCCTGGGCAGGAGTGACTAGCCAGTGAGCCCAGCCTGCAACCTCTCACACAGACATCTAGAATTTTTCCAGGAAATGCAGTATCTTTTTGCTATAAAAATATATACGTTGGCTTTGCAGAAAATTTTATAAGGAAAAAGAAGACCATTAAAAAGAACTACTCACTCTTTTGGAGGTAGGGTTGCACTTGCTTCCCATATTTTTCTGCCTCTCCTCAACTTGGACACTCCTACTGCCCTTTCTCCTCCTGGCCATTCTGCACATGGGAGAGGGCAAGCAGCAAGGCTTCCAGCCAAGGCTTCAGCCCTATGGCTGCCCTTGTGGGAGGAAGCATCCTCCTCATAGCCTACTGGTCTCCCTCTTCCCTGGCTTCCCAATTCACCTCCACCTCAAACTCTAGACATGTTCAGCTTCAGTCCCGGGAAAGAGATGTCTGATGTAGTTTCACTACTGCCTGCCCCAATTGGCAAACAGTATTGAGTTTACAGCTGTCCACTGGCTTTAGAAAGCCATGATTTCAACTTGCTGTTCCTAACCTGTAAAGTGGGAGCAGCTGTAGGTACCTGCATGAGGGAAGGCATTATGGGTGTGTACACCTGCCTGCTAGTCAGCAGCAGCTCTGTGCTGCCACTCTAGCAGAGATCCTTGTCCCCCACCCTCCAAGCCTTATCATGGTACACCTGATGTCCAGCCTCATTCATCCTCCCTGAAGGTCCTCTGTAAGGACTTGGCAAATGGGGGCTGCACCTGGAGCCTGACTATGGCCTGCATCTGGGACTTGTGTCTACACTGGGCTACTGGCTGTCTCTGGCAGTCAGGGTGCCTTTTTGATGCTGGCCCCTGTGTGAAGGCCACCGGTGCTAGTGGACACTTCAGGACTCTCAGCCCCTCCTATCCTGGCCCACCTAATAGTAGCTTCAGTGAGGACATTTCCTCCTAACTTCTCTCTGGCCAGGATATAAACTCCATGGTCCCTGGTTCACAGCAAAAGAAGGTGGGATGCTGGTGACTGTGCCTGCCCTCTCTAGGAGATGGGCTCCAAAAGGCCTCACTCCAACAACCCTGGGTGAGGCCCTATCTGAGCCATGCTGCCCTGGAATGAGCCAGAAAGCTCAGTATGATCTGGGGAGGTGTCCTGCTTATCTACAAGTCATTCAGAGAATTGAGTGAGAAGCCTCAATCTGTCCTAGGTGAAAGCTGCTCTCCTAGCCTGGGACTGCCTGGTGGCCTGGAGGGGCAACTGTGGGGATGGTGCTCCAATCCCCATACAGGGACAAGATCCACTTGGCAGGGCAGTCAGCAAGGTCCCAGGGAGTTGCCTCATCTTGGAAAATTCTCTGCACCACTGAAGTGTAATATATTAAGTGCTCTGGCCTCAGGCCATCACCCCGAGAGGAGGTGACCTTACCTGTCCTCAGCCATTGCAAGTACAGTGGGTGGCAGGCCTGCTGGAGTGCAGCTGTAGGCAGCTCAGCTTCTACACTGGGCTGCACCTGCTGGTTAAACATTTTGGGCCAGAGTGTGGTGCTGTTGGAGAATTTTTAAAAAACAAAACAAAACAAAACAAAAAAACAGGGCTGGGGCTGTAGCTCAGTGGTAGAGCACTTGCCTAGCATGTGTGAGGCACTGGGTTTGATTCTCAGCATTGCACATAAATACAATAAAGATCCATTGAAAACTAAAAAATAAAAATACTTTTAAAGGATTATATATATGTGTATATATATATATATGCACACTCATGTACGTATGTATGTGCATGTATATACACACACACATACATATATATATATAAAGAAAACAGTTAAATAGTTACTAGGGAAGTATGGAGAGTGAGAAGCAGAGGCATTCACCAGCCCTCTGGAATGCACAGAGCTTTTTGGCTGCAGCTTGGGGCCTGCTATCCTTCCCCATGAAGCCTGACTTCAGGGGAGAGGCCCTAAGCCTGCTAGTTGTGGCCATCAGATTGTTGCCCTTGAAGGCAGTTAAGATGGGAACATTGCCCAGCAACTGGTCTGGTTAAAAAGAAGCCCCCTTCTGGGACCCATCCTCAAGATTCCCTCCAAGAGGACAGAAGAGCCAGGAAGTGGGCCTCAGGGCTGTATGTCTTTCTATAGTCATGATGGAGACATGATGTTGAAGGCAGCCTGGCTATAGGAACTGGCCTAGATAAGCACCGAGCCACACCCTCAGGATTTTTTATTCTTTATTATCTTTCTTTTTGTATCAGGGATGAACCCAGGGGTACTTAACCAGTGAGTTACATGCTCAGGTCTTTTTATTATTTTTTTGAAAATATTTTTTAGTTGTGGATGGACACAATACATTTTTATTTTATTTAGTTTTTTTATGTGGTGCCTCATGTGTGCTAGGCAAATGCTCTACCACTGCACCACAACCCCAGCCCAGCTCCTTTTATTTTTAAACAGGGCCTCACTAAGTTGCTGAGGTTGGCTTTGAACTTGTGATCATCCTGCCTCAGCCTCCTGAGTTGCTGGGATTACAGGCATGCATGGTTGCACCGGTCTTATGGAGATATATACCAGGGATTGAACTCAGGGGCACTTGACTACTGAGACACATCCCCAGCCCTATTTTGTATTTTATTTAGAGATGGGGTCTCACTGAGTTGCCTAGCACCTTGCTTTTGCTGAGGCTAGCTCTGAAGTCTCAATCCACCTGCTCCAGCCTCCCAAGCCACTGGTTATCTTTAAAGATAGAAAAGATGCCGGGTTCTTCGAAAGGAAGGGTAACTTGTATTTTTTTTTTTTTTTGTGGTGCTGGGGGTCAGATCCAGGACTGGTGCATGTTGGGCAATGGCTCTACTGCTGAGCTACCCACCCAACCCAAGAAGGATAATTTCATCTATATGAGCCTTGGGCAGTGAATTTTCTGTACCCTTGGCTGTGGAAGCTGACAGGCCCTGACAATGCTAAGCTTCCCCCTGCCATGGCTGAAGCTGTTTAATTCATCCTCTGTGACTGGGTGTGTGGGTCAGTGGTAACACTACCTCTTATGTATGAGGTTCTGGGCAAACAAAATTTCATCCTTTGAAAACTATACATAAAAATAACACCCAGAGCCAAGATGCAAAGCACCATATCCTCAACAATGGTTCAGGAAGAAGGTGAATGTGCTGAAAGGCTTTGTGTGCTGCATCTGATGAAAGAACAAGCAAACAAATCCCAACTTCTTTACTCCACCCTGTCATGAGGTGTGCAGATTATTTCCCAGATGTCACTGGGATCCAGGGTCTGCAGTGAGCATCTGGGTGTGCTCATGTTTCATAAAGCAGAGAGAACCTTAAACTTGTTCAGAATAAATGGTGATGATTTGGGGAGTTCCACCAATGACTTCTGTTGCCATGGTAACCCTGAGCAAGCCAGCTTTGGCCCGCATGTGCTGCAAACCCTGGGACCAGCGCCTACTCCCCACACTTTCCTGTTGCTGGAAGGTTTTCCCAGATGCTAGGGTCCGCCTCTCTGCCCTTCTCCCTCCTCCCTTCCCAGCATGGACACTGTGAAACCTGCCAAAGCTCTGTCACCCCATGGGGCCATGGTAAACAGCTGAGGATGACTTTCGCACTTGGACATTAGTCCACTCACCAAGTGAGCACTGTGTGTGCTAAGTGCTGGGGGACCTAGAAGTATGTGAGCTGAGCTGGGTACAGTGGCCATGCCTGTGACTCCAATCTCTTGGGAGGCTGAGGCAAGGGAGTCATGAATTCCAGGCTAGCCTCAGTAACCTACTAAAACCCTATCTTAAAATGTGACTCTCCTAGGAGGAGCTGATGTCTCCAGTAGTTTCCTGTCTTCTCTCTGCCTGTGTCCATGTGGGCTCCTGGACTGAGGTGGGGAGCATGAGATGATGGATCCCAGAGAACCTTGCCAGCTGCAACACTGGAGGCTAGCAAGTGTTTCTCTGACCTCCACATCATTTCATCCTTTATCCTATGAGATAAGACAATGCTGCCTGGCAGCAGTCAAGCCCCTTCCCCAGGATGCATGTCCAGGCAGCCAGAAGCATCTTACTTGCGCTTGGCTCTGTGCTGAGGCCTGAGCCTACTGAAACTGGGCAGGAGTGGGGCAGGTGGGGTCTCCAGATTAGAACTTCCTGTGCTGGCCTCAGATCTGGGCTGGTGTGTAGGCCCCAGTTTTTCCCTTAGGACACATCAGGCATTTCTCTTGGAGGCATGTGGCAGACCAACTCTGGCCCTTTAGATCCAAGGGGGGAATGTCTGGGGGATTCTGGGTCCTTCACAGGCTCCCAGGTGGGGTGGGGCAGTGCACTGGAACTTTGGGAAGAAGCTGGGACACAGACCTTTGGAACCCAGAAATAAAACAACCTACCTTCCTTCCTTCTGCTCTTTCTGTGCTATGATCAAACACAGGGCCTTGTGCAAGCTGAGCAGAGCTCACCACTAACCTTTATCCCTACCCCTTCCTTCCTTCCTCACCCCCTGGGCATCGCAGCCCAGCTGCCACCTGCTCAGGTTGCTCCTTCTGCCAGTTGACATCTAAACTCTTGGGAAAGATGGTTTGCTCTGCTTGGATCATGTGTCAGTTCCCTCAATAAATTCATCTGGTGAATGTAAATATGGTGGTTCCCCCTGAAGCCAAGGCTTGGAGAGTACTGCTTCTACAAAATTGGGTTCCCAAGGCCTGACTTGGTGGAGCACACCTGTAATCCCAGTGGCTGGGGAGGCTGAGGTAAGAGGATTGTAGGTTCAAAGCCATCCTCGGCAAAAGCGAGGCACTAAGCAACTCAGTGAGACCCTGTATCTAAATAAAATATAAAATAGGGCTAGGGATGTGGTTCAGTAGTCGTGTGCCCCTGAGTTTAATCCCTGTACCAAAAAGAAAAAAGAAAATTGGGTTCCCAGATCCTCCACTTCGGGTCCTGTCCTACACTAACCCAGGTCACTTATAGACATATCAGCCAAGCATGCTGATAAGCCTCTGTGTGTGTCCCATGTGACTGCATGGATCTTGGGCCCCTTGCCTGGTGCCAGGGGATATGGATAACCTGGAGAGAGTAGTGGAAAGATGGCAGATGGCGCCAAAGAAGGAATGAGAAACAGGTGTCAGAGATATAAAAAATTAACTTTTAACTCCCTAGCATCTCATGAGATGTGGACAATGAAGTGGGCAGTGACTTGAACAGGCATTCCTTGCCCCAGGTCAAAAGCTTTGAGCTGCCATGGAAAGGAAGCTCCAGGGCTAGGAGCCTCCCCACAGGCTGCACTGTGTGTGGGAGGCATGGTGGGTTCCATGTGGGCTCTGAAGAGCTCCGGGGTGGCTGGAGATGCTTTGTCATCACAGGAAGCCGGTGCCAGCAACTTCAACTGAGATGTTAAAATAAGAAAATCTGCAAAACCTTGGGCTGAGTCAGGAGGAGTTAAACTATACTTTACAAACTCATGCTCTATTTTTACTCTGAGAAAAATGTACTTTACCAATTTTGAAGGTGAGAAAAAAATTTCTTCCCACTGAATAAAATATCAGTAAACACATAGCAGAGGCCAGCAGGGAGTGTGACCTAGACCTAAAATTGACTTCTTGCTCACTTTGCTTGGTGAATACATGTTAAAAGGCACAAGGTAGGCAGCCTTCTCATGAGGGACATGAAAGACTGCACACATGCAGAGTGTATTCTTGAACGAGTTGTGACAGGTATTTGGGCCCCTGAGACCTCACAGTCAAGGTTATGACCATGCACATCACCTGTCCAGTCTTTGCCTGCTGGTCATGTCTTCCTCTCACTTCTGCCCTATCATCAGGTGACCTCTAATCTGTTCGCTGTCCCTATAGTTCTTTCTTTTTTTTTTTTAACGTGGTGCTGAGGATTGAACCCAGTGCCTCACATGTACAAGGCAAGTGCTCTGCCACTAAGCTATAACCCCAGCTCTTTTTATTTTTTTTCCTTACTTCCTTCCACCCCACAACCCTGAGGATTGAACCCAGGGGCACTCTACCACTGAGCTACATCCCTAGCTCTTTTCATTTTATTTATTATTTTCTTTTTTATTTATTTGTTCTTTTTAGTTATATATGACAGCAGAATGTATTCTGACATCATACATACATGGAGTAAAACTTCCCATTCTTGTGGTTGCTTATAATGTGGAGTTACACTGGTCATGTATTCATATTTGAACACAGGAAACTGAAGTCCTATTTACTGGACATTCCCATCACCTCTTCCTTTCCCCTATTCCCCCAGTATTTTTAAAAATTTGAGGGCTGGGGATGTGGCTCAAGCGGTAGCGTGCTCGCCTGGTATGCGTGCGGCCCCGGGTTCGATCCTCAGCACCACATACAAACAAAGATGTTGTGTCCGATTAAAACTAAAAAATGAATATTAAAATTCTCTCTCTCTTAAAAAAAAATAAGCATTAAAGAACTATTTAAAAAAAAAAAAGAACATACTATTAAAAAATAAAAATAAAAATAAAAAAAAAATAAAAATTTGAAACAGGATATAACTAAGTTGCCCAGGCTGACCTTGAATTTACAATCCTCCTACCTCAGCCTCCTAAATTACTGGGGTTACAGGTATGGCCATTGAACTGGGCACTGAATTTGCATTTTCTAGAATTTTACAGCACTGGAATTGCATAATGCGTACCTTTGTCTGCTGGCTTATTTTCTTAAATATTGATGTTTTGAGATTCATTCATGATGCTGTATGAGTTCATGTTCCTTCTTTATTATTCCTGAACTGTATTCCATGGTATGGATGTTTGTTGATTCACTGTGAGAGAGAGAAAGTCCAGTGGTCCATTTTCAAAATATAGTATTTAGCTTTAAATGTAAAAGTACTGAGGATGGAAGAAAAGGGAAGAGGAAACAGAACAAATGGTTGGGCTGGGGATGTGGCTTAAGCGGTAGCGCGCTTGCCTGGCGTGCGTGAGTCCCGGGTTCGATCCTCAGCACCACATACAAAGATGTTGTGTCCGCCGAAAACTAAAAAATAAATATTAAAAATTCTCTCTCTCTCTCTCTATAAAAAAAAAAAAAAAGAACAAAATTCTTAAAAAAAAAAAAAAAAAAAAAAAAGAAAAAATTTTTTAAAAAAAAAAAAAAAAGAACAAATGGTTACCAGCCCTTAACATCTGGGTGTGACAGATCCACAGCCCCTTCACAAACAAGAGGTGAGGAGAAGGGGCTGGCCTGAGGGACAAAGGTAAACTTCATATATGGTGGCTTTCCAGAGAACAAAGGGAAGTAGGGACAGCTAAAGGTACATTTCTTTAAATAAACCAACAGGAGACAGCAAAACCTAGGTAGAGCTCCGCCCCTCTGGGCCGCAGACTCCTAGGGAGAGTACTGTGGCCACTTAGGCCCTCTACCCATCCTGCTGGAACTTCCCATGGGGCCAGCTCCATCTTGAACTGTAAGCTCCACGATGCAGGACTTTCAGTGCAGGTACCCAGCCCTATGCGGCCCTCAGTGCTGGCTGGCTGGTGCCCACTTTGGAAACAGACCCTCATTTACCTACTCAAACTATCTTTAAGTCTTTGTGGTAGGCTGGGGCATAGCTCAGTGACAAGGCGCCTGCCTAACACGTATGAAGCCCTGGTCAATTCCCCATGCCCTCAAATTGACTTATAAAGATGACAAGGAAATAGGTGGGGAGCTGCTCATGGTGGCCACACCTGTAATTCCAGTGACTCAGGAGACTGAGGCAGGAGAGTCACAAGTTTCAGGACAGCTTAGACAATTTAGCAAGGTTCTAAGTAACTTAACAGACCACAAAGAAGACATGGCAGGTCTGAACAGCTGACTGAGCTGGACAGTGTTGATTTTAATGTTTTTTTAATTAAAAAATTTTGATTCTCGAAAACATGTTGATTTTTGTTTTTGTTTTTCTTTTTTTTAAAAAAAATACAACAGTGGAATGCATTACAATTCTTATTACACACATAGTGCACAATTTTTCGTATCTCTCTATATAAAGTATGTTCACGCCAATTTATGCGATTATACATGTACTTCGTTTTTGTTTTGGCATTACAATTCTTTTTTTAATATATTTATTTTTTAGTTGTAGTTGGACACAATATCTTTATTTCATTTAAGTGGTGCTGAGGATCGAACCCAGGGCCTCGAACATGCTAGACGAGTGCTCTACTACTGAGCCACAACCCAGCCCCTGCATTACAATTCTTAATACACATATATACCACAATTTTTCTTATCTCTATTGGTGTATAAGGTATGTTGACACCCAATTCAAGTCTTCATACATGTACTTTGTATAATGATGACCATCACATTCCACCATCCTTGATAATCCCCTGCCCCCTCACTTTCCCTCCCACCCCTCTTCCCTATCTAGAATTAATCTAATCCTCCCATGTTCTCCCTCCCTATCCTACTATGAGTCACCCCGCTTTTTTGGCGCTGGGGATTGAACCCAGGGCCTTGTGCATGCAAGGCAAGCACTCTACCAACTGAGCTCTATCCCCAGCCCTGTTTTTCATTAAAAAAAATTTTTTATTAGTTTTTGATGGATCTTTATTTTATTTTTTTATTTTATTTATTTATTTATATACGGTGCTGAGAATCGAATCCAGTGCCTCACACATACTAGGCAAGCGCTCCACCACTAAGCCACAACCCCAGCCCTGTTTTTCATTTCTTATGTTGCCTTTTTTTCTTTCAGAGTTATAGATATGAGTTTATTAGAAGGAATAGGAAAGGGGAAGGGGTACACTCTCAAGGGAGAGGGCGGGTCCTCTCAGAGGACAGGAACCTGTGCCTTTCATCTTTCACACAGTGACCTTTTGTGTGTATGAGGGGTTGAACTCAGGATTAACCACTGAGACACATTCCAGCTCTTTTTTTTAAAGCTTTTTAATTTACTGACTTAAATTTTTTAGTTTAAGTCAGGCGCTTGCTATTTTTCTGAGGCTGGCCTTGAACTGGAGACCTCCCTGCCTCAGTTTCTGGAGTAGCTGGGATCACAGGCATGGCCGTTTAGCAGGAAGGTGCATACTTTCCACGTGGTGGTTCCACTTGGGCAGGTCTACCAGGTAAGTAATGGACATTTTTCCAGCACTGGCATGCAGGAGCACCTGTCCCTCAGAATCTAGCACCTAGGATCAGAGGGAGCTGTTACCTTACCTACACCCCATTTACAAAGGCTGATCCTTCATTACAACTGCCTCTGAGGCTGCTACCTGGCTAAAGCCCAGCTCTTGACAAAACTGGGGGTGATTTTTTCTTTGAATGTAGCATCTTCCTCATGGATGGACACATCTCTTACAAGAAAATGGCAATAAGGTTTGAGAAGGGAACCCCTCCTTACCTTTTTGTTTTCTAAAAGAGATTTGGAACATTACAGTTATACATAATAGTAGGGTTCATTTTGACATATTCATAAAGGCACATAACAATTTTTTTCATTTCAATCCCCCTGGACTACCTCCTTCTCTCTCTTCCTTGGTCTGTTACCCTTCCTCTACAATATTGGTCATTTATTCATTAATTGATGCATTATAGTTACATTTAAGATTGGAATGCACTGTGGTATATTCATACATGCACCTAGAATAATTTAGTCAATTTCATTCCCCTGCTCTTCCTTCCAGCCCTTCTTTTCTCCCCTTGGTGTACTTCTACTGTACTAATCTCCCTTCTATTTTTGAGACCCCCCCCTTTTTTTATTTAGCTTCCACTTATGAGAGAAAACATTTCACCCTTGACTTTGAGTCTCATCTTTCTTTTCTCAAAGCCAGACTCACCAAGTCTGGTGCTACATGTTGGGAATTTTGCCATGGGAGATGATTCAGTTAATTAGCAGGCTCCTGGTGTGTACACCTGGAAGCATGTTCAGTTCCTTTGTTTCTTGCCAAAGCTGTTTAGGAAACCACACCTGGAGCTGTTGGCCAAGTGTGAAAAATATTGCTCACACTCGTTCAGGAACGCTAAATTTGGCTACCCGCTGGGGGCAGGGGATGCTCACCTGTTCTGCCACTGCCATGCCTGGTGTCCATGAACCTGTCCCTTTGATGACAGTGACACTAGGGACAGAGGCCACTTGCTAACGACAGCCAAGGGCTTGGGAGGCTGACCAGAGAGATGAGCTCCTCATGCCTGTAATCCCAGAAGCTACTGAGGCTGAGACAGAAGGATCGCAAGTTTCAGGCCAGCCTCAGCAACTTAGAGTTAATGCCATTTTCTCGCTAAGCAACTTAGCAAGACCCCGTCTCACAAAGAAAAAAAAAAAAAAAAAAAAAAAAGATATATATATATATATATATATATAAAGCTGGGGATGTGGCTCAGGGGCAAAGCGCCCCTGGGTACTCCTCCCCGCCAAAATAAAAATCCCGGGAACAAATTTAAAACGAGGGCCTCAGCCCGTCGCCGCGCGTGCTGAGGTGCGAGTCAGGTGGCCCGCACTCTCGGGAAGGTGCCCCGTCTGCCTCCCGCGAGACCTCTGCAGCAACTCGACCTCTGCGCGGCGCCTGCAGCGCAGCGTTCCCTACACCTACCTGGGAGCCCGGAGTGAGCGCCTCTGCTGGCCCTTTGGGGTCGTCACGTGCAAGGACTTTCTGTCAGTCACCCGCACCACCCAGACTGCTACCAGATCCCAAATGCCACATCCAGATCCCGCCAAGACTCGCATCCGCCCTGCCCCCGCCGCCGTCTTTATATCCCGCTGGCGGGGCGGGGACACAGGCGCGGCGCGCTGACGTCAGCCGCATGGGGCGGGGCCGTGCGACATCACGCTCGGTACCTCAGCATCTCTCGCCCGGTCCTCTATCCTCCGCTCGGCGATCGGCCCCGCGGCCGCCCGCCGCCCGCCCTCCGCCCTCCGGCCGCGCCGCCGCCATGGTTCCGCGCCCGCCGCGCCGCCGCGCCGGGGGCCGCTGAGGCGC